CTTTCTTTCTTTCTTTCTTTCTTTCTTTCTTTCTTTCTTTCTTTCTTTCTTTCTTTCTTTCTTTCTTTCTTTCGCAATACTAGGGATTGAGCCCAGAGCCATCTCACTGAACTACATCTCCAGCCTCTTTTTTATTTAAAATTTTTTTTTTTTTAATTTTGAGACAAGGTCTTACTAACTTGCCAAATTGCTCAGGTTGGGCTTGAATTTGGCATCCCCTGTGCTGGGATTACAGGTGTTCACTACCACTCCTGGCTGCTTCTGTTCCTTTTACAAACATTTCAAGAAGCTCATGGACTCATCTTATGGGTGCTCTCTCCACTTAATTACTTTACCTGGAGGAAGGTGTGACCTGGACAGTTACAAGCTCCTCTAAGCTCACATCCTGGGTCACCTGTCCTAAAGGCTTCATGTGAGCATGTGTGCACCTGAAGTGGTTTAGTTGAGGTCTCATTGTTATTGTGTAGCTCCTTCTAAAAGTGACTTGCCTAATAAATGTTACCAGGTTCTGGGTTACTTGCCTCTCCTTCTGGGGTTGGATTCTAGGCTCTTCTCATCTCAAACAAAGAATTGAACAAAATGAGCAAAAAGCAGTGGCAAAATTTATTTGAGAAAGTAAAAGTGAAGAGTGAAGGAGAAATGCTCTGCAAAGCGAGCTTGGGCTGAATAAAAGAGGAAAAACCAAGATAAAGGAACACCTTGGAGAAAGCAGGGCAGGCCATTGTGAGGAAAGCCACAATAGCAAACAATCTCTTCTTGGCATCTGTGTCCTTTTATACTTTCCAAATCTCGAGGAAACCCGAGAGAACTACATACGGGTCCTGAGAAGAGGGGCCTGGATCCTATGTCTCAGGCTGATTTGATGTCAGGTCCAGGCCATCCTATTGAAAACCTGTTTGAGTCATGTGAGGAGTCCACTTGCAGAGCTTTGGGAACTGTTTTGTGCAAGTGTCCTGGGATTTTGTAATTAACAGGTCACACCTACTTCCTCAGCCAGTTTTGCCACACCCTACTCTCTGATGTCACTGTGGCTGAACAGAGGGAGGAAGGGCTCCCATCCAATTGCTCTCTGTTTGCTCACAGAGCACTGGACTTGAAGTTTCCCTTTCCAATAAGCAAAGAATCTCACAGGAGAAGGACAGTGATGAGGCTTCCCTTCACTCCTTCACTGAGGCAGCATCTACTGCTACTCGGAGCATAGGAGGGTGTACTTACTTCATATTCTATGACTTTCCTTTATTGAGGTCTCTCCCAAGTCTCTCTTTCTCCCTCTTTGCTCACCTTTTCCTCTCCATTTTTCCCTTCATATAAGCTATAATTAAAATAGCTGTTTTAGCCACTGGCTAAAACATTTTCTTAAGGAAGAAGAAAAAAAGAAAAGAAAAAAGAAAACCAGAGCAATAGTGTAATATGAAAGGACAGCTGTAACCCAGATGCTGCTTCCTACCTGGCCCATGGGGACGCTAGTCTGCCCTTTCTCTACATTTGCACCCTACTGGCCTCAGCCACCCTTGTCACTCATTTGTTCTGAACTCAAATTTCCCCACCAAAGTCCCCAGGCCCCAGGGAACACCCTGTTCCGACCACCCAGGACTTCTCCAGCTTGCCAGCTCCTGCCTAAGAATTCCAAGTCAAACAGCGCTTTCCCGCCTTTTCCATTCCGCACAGCATTCCTGAGCTGTTTCCTCTGCCGGCCTGGAGCTCAGGATAGAGGAAAATGGAGCAAACTGTTGAAAGAATGAATATATGTTGAAGCACCACCATGGGTGTGATGGAGAGGTAGATATAAAGCACAAACCATGTCATCACGAATTATTTAAAGGATTACTATCTCAAAAATCTTGTTTATCCAAATGTAAAAAATCACATGCTTGGAAATGTTCTTTCTGAAGCCTACACAACTTCTCTGGAATTGGAGGGGCTGTGTTCTCTCTCTCCAGGAACCAGCCCTTCAGACCCAGACCAGGGCTATTTGAAAGTGAAAGTGCGTGTTACTCACAAGGACACCTGAGGGTCTGCTAGCTGGTTGTATATACTTTTACATTTCCTGGCCTTCTGCTAAACTGGTAGCTCATCTGAGTATAGTGGATAGGATTGGCAGTGACAAACCAGACCTACAAAGGCCTGAACAAGGTGGCAGTGTCAAAGACCTAGTCACGCTTGCGTTGGTCATATCTTCTATGAATTGGACAGGATCAAATACCTTTGTCTCTTTTTTCTGTGTTAGTTTCCCCAATCAGACTACTTGGATTCCAGTCCTGTCTTGTTTTGCTTTAAATTTGAGCAAGTTTTTTGCTCTCTGTATACGCCTCCGTTTTCTCATTTGGGAAATATAAAATCATATTGTCATTGTCAAAATTAAATTGAAAGTATTTGAGCACTTGTGAGGATGAGGCAGGAGGATTACCATGAGTTTAAGGCCTGCCTGGGCTACACAGTGAGTTCAAGGCCAGTTGAATTACATAGGGAGGCCCTGTCTTAAAAAAAAAAAAAAAGGAAAGAAAAGAACAGAAAAACAAAAAGAAAGTCTTTGAACAGCATCTGGCCACATGGTAAGTCTCAACCTGAGCTAAAGTCATTGTGATTGTCATGGCCCCTCCTGCCCTCCTCTTCTCCTGGCCTGTCGGTCATTAGGGGGAGATTTTCTGGAGCAGCAGTCTGCATGTCAGGTGAGTGCTTTGGGCTGAAAACCTCTTCCCTCCAGACTGCAGGTGTCTCTGGGGAGGATAATAACACCTCAAGCCTATCATTAATCCCTTTCAGGTTCCTGGGCCCTTCATCCTGAAGGGTTTCATGGCCCTTGAATAAAAGAAGCAAAACATTCATGAAAACATTAACATTCGTATAGCAGGTACAACACGCCTTCCTGGTACCTCCTGTTATCAAACATGCTCATCGCCTGAAACATTCAAGTGGTTTTAAAAGGCAGGCTTATCCTAAGTCATTTCTGCATTTCAGTGACCCGAAGAGTTTACCTCAGAGCTACCTTTCCAGTCCTTCTTTCCTTCCTCCCTTGACAAACTAGAGACAAAAGGTTGGCCCAAGCATTTTCTCCAGTTCTGTTTCCTCAGATGAGGAAAGTGGAAAAAAACCCCACAGGACCAAAGAGGAAGAGGAGCATAACTCTGGGTTCCTGCAAAATAATATTACAGACAACAGAGAGAACTGGGCCTTTCATCTTCACATCTCACAGCTATTTATACTCAACATATCTGATATGTGCTGTCAGGCATGGTTGTGTTTAATTTGGACTTGACCAAGCTTAGAAGTTCACCTGTCAGACACAAACAACAGCCATCGTAATGTACTGGGTTGTGAAAAGCTCAGTCCACTGTTTCTGAGTTTTGATGAATTCAGCTATGTTCATTAGTCAAGGATGAAAGATCTGCTTTAGTCCCAGTCCTGGGCAGCATGGTGGGTGTGGCCATATCCACTGGAAGGACCACATGGCGGGTCATTTGGACCCTGCCGCATGTACAACCATGAACAGTGAGGGGCTGACTCTTGGTCTAACTCACCAGCACTCAGTTGCATTGCGAACGCCTTATGCTCTGATGAAAATGATGGCAATGTTTCATTTCCTGATCATCCATGTGAACACTCTGATTAGGGCATCTGTCATCTGCCTCCAGATAAATTGAACCTGTCAGAAAGACTAGATCCAGTTAATCCAGGCAGATCTTTTCACAACACAGGCTTTTAAAACACGTGTTCCCATCTCCAGGGACAGCAGATGTCCCTGGATTCTCCTCTTGCCTTGTGCACAGAGTGAGGCTGGTAGGGATGAAGTAGCCCCTGATGAAGCTGGCTGTGTTCTCCCCTGTCACTGTGTTCTTACCTCTAATTTCTGGTATTCTTAGGGAGATGGAAAGCAAAGAGTAAATTAATATTCAGTAGGAACCTGTTGCATTCCTACATGATTTCACTTAATTTCCCAGGCTGTAATGACATCTGAGGGCACTGATTCTTTTAAGAATCCATTTTAAGGAGTGTGTGTGTGTGTGTGGTGTGTGTGTGTGTGTGTGTGTGTGTGTGTGTGTGTGATATGTAGTTACACTAGACCACAGGGAATGCTCACATTCCCTACAGGCAGACTTTAGTTGGCCTCCTTGGTACGTTCTGCTCGTAGGTGATGGCAGTGCTGACGTGTTGTGTTGTCAGATTCTAACATTGATATTCTATATTTTGCCCCTCTCCTTTTTTTTTTTTTTTTTTTTTTTTTTAACAATACTAGGTATTGAATTGAGGGCCTTCACACTGAGCTACATCCCTGGCCTTTAAAAAATTTTTATTTTGAGACAGACTGTCACTAAATTCCTAAGTTCCCCAGACTGGGCCTGAATTTGCCTCAGCCTCCAGAGTGCTGAGATGATAGGCATTAGCCATCACTCTGGACTTAGGGAACAATTTGGGGGTTTGTGAAATGGTAGCTCCATTTTGTTTTGTGGATGGTCACACCTAATAGCAGTGGCACTTGGATTGTACTGATGACTCTGCAGAAATACTTTAGAGCTTTAGCAGAACTCAGGGAGCAAGCATGCTTAGTTCTCAGTTATCCGCGTGTCTGAAGATCATATATAGCTGTGAGATCATGAGGCCAGTACCAAGGGACCACTCGTCACCTTGTGGGACAAATATCTTGGAGAAGTAAGTTTCTTATCTACCCCAAACAACATAATAACCATTTGTGGTGTCAGCTTTATTTTGGTTCCTAATTGCCTTAATTTTGCTTTTGCTCGTAAGAATTATTGCTTACTGACTCTAATCACTTAGACTTTAATTCCATTAACATCTTATTAGAATAGATGACATGCTTTGTGGCTTGGTGACCCCAGGAACAGGGGGAAGATGTGGCTTCTGAGGTTTGCCCCTGCCTGTTTCCTGTGGGTGAGCAGATGGCCTGTTTCTCATGATGTATTTATTGCTGGAAAGCCCGAATATGAATTATTGCAGTTTACTTTGCATATATAACACTTAAATTTGTGCTTAATAATACACTTGATGCAAATATCCCATGAACACACTAACTGTTCAATCAGCCTCAGATAAATTTCATGGGCTTGCAATACCACAAGCAGCTTTTTTTTTGGTGGTGGGGATTGAACTTGGGTTCTTGTGCTTGCAGGGCAGGGGGCGGAACTACTGAGCTAAATCCCCAGCCCTACAAGCAGCTTTTAGGAGCCAGCTTTTTCTCCAGGATAGAAAGCATGTTATCACAGAAAGAGTCAAACTGATTAAAATCAATTCACATTCTTTCCTATTTTTTTCATCAGTGTGTCGAATAGTGACATGTAAGATGCAACCAGTTTACAATATTTGCAAGTATTTATGGCAAGTATTTTTTGAGTTTCTCCCATAGGCTAAGTGTAGATGCCTGGGCCACAAGAGATGGGAATGGTGACCCTTGTCCTCCTCATACATGAATAATCATGCCTGGGAGCTCAAAATAACACTCAAGAAGTAAGTATACAAAATTTTGACAATATGTATAAATGATGTGACTATCCTCATTCCTCAAGTATTTGAAAATGTCATCATGGAGATAAAGAGATGTGCTAGGCTTTGAAGAAGGTAAAAGTTTGTAGTATTAATAATAATGATTTCTAACAGAATACATTAGCATTTACAGTGAGCCCCATAATCCCTCTGGGATAGGAAGTGGAAGGAGGAAATAAAATTTGTTGTGTAAATATGCAAAGTGGACCAAATGACACCTGTAGGCAAAGTGGGTTTTATTAGAAGCTTGGAGTTAGGGAACCTAACTCTTTTACAATGGGTGGGAGGTTGGCTTGACTTCTGTTCCAAAGGAAGATACTGCCTCTACCTCCCAAAGCTGTTTAGTTTACAAGCATCCTCAGAAAGATAATCTGGAACAAAGAGTCATCAGTGCACGACATGGAATAACGTGAAGAACCCAGAGAGAATTATTTCCCAGCAGCTTGACCAACCAGCTCATAAACATCTGGGCTAGGACTGGAACCAAAGGAAGCCACGGTTAAGTATCGTGGTCTCACTGGCTTCTTATTCAAGACCATCAGACTCAAATCTGTGTCAATTTTGAGACCATCTCTCTTCCTGTTTGTGGCCAGCCTGGCTCATATGGGCCACCCCCACATCAGTGTTTATGCTCTTTCTCTGTCCCTTGTGGCCAAGACTTGGGCTTATGGGCCTGGGGCTCCATTCTTGTGGAGTTTCTTGGTTTAGAATTCTGGATCTATTAGATGCGAGATATCTGACCTTGGAACTTGGAGTCTATATCTCAGAATTTCTCATCTAGAACAGTGTGATAATAATTCCTATCTTAGGGAAAAACAAAACACGACACAACAAAACTATCTACCTTAGGCAGATGTTACTAGGATTAGTGATAGCTATTTGACACAGTGACTTCAAGTATTAAAGGTGCAGTAACTGGTAGCTGTTCTATCCTTACCCTTATGGAGCGCTAGCCTCAGAAGGGACCTAGGAACATATTTAACCTTCATACGGTAGATAAGAGAAAAAATGAAGCATGGAGGGATCAGCAATGCGGCCTGCTTATCCAACCTTGCCAGAGGTGACAGCACATTACTCACGGAATACTTGTTATTTATCAAGCAGTGCCTAATAGTGTGCAGCCAGATACGAAGTAGCTGGTGACTGCTGCCAGGAATCAGAAGCCTGGGAGACACAGAGCACATCTTTGCTTCTGGTTTACACCATGCTGGGCCACTTTCCTGTCTTAGCCTTTGACTATCTAGATGTAAACCATAAAGTGCTCCTGCGATGTAGGCAGCCTACCAGCCTGAAGCCTCACATCTCCTTCCATTCCTCAAAAAACACCTCAGTCTTTGCTGCCTCTTGAAGCATCTTCACTTGGCCAATTCCTGGCCACCCTTGGGTCACAGCTGACAGGTTGTTTTCTTGGGGATGCTTTCTCAGATGTCTGCAGCAGGCGAGGCAGCCTGCCAAATGCACCCATGAAGCCTGGAACTTCTTCTTTACCATCTTCCCTGTGCTCCTTGTAACAAGACCAGCACCCAACTTTCCCACCAAGTTACCTCTGTAAGAGTGGCAGGTGGTTGGTCTTGTTTGATGGAACATCCCCAGGGCTTGGCAGAGCACGGATGCTTAATTAATGTAGGTTAAGTGGCTGAGGAAGGTTTGCTAACTGTTGTAGTAATTCCAGTTTTGGAGTTGCTGCTTGGGGTATAAAAATATTCTAAAAACCAGAAGAGACTAGTCTGAGAATAAAGGAGGATTCTTCTCAAGACATGCAATAAGAGAAGTTTTACTGACATGTACATATTTATATAGCCCACATTATACCGACCTATCCCCAAGCATCTCACTTTGCCCTTATTTTTCCCACTGCACCTTGCAGTGGCACTTCATCAGAGACCTACTTAGTCCAAGAACTGACATTTGGAAATGGCTATCCTAAAAGTCACAGCCATTAATTAACTGTAGAAATTACCATTGCTCTACTTTGCTGAGGAAAGCAAACTTCAGAGTTCCAAAGGTTTTCAGCACAAGTTTATCAAACGTATGTCCATATTTTATTTCCTCTTGGCTCAAGTTTTACCCCTAGTCTGACTTTAAAAAAAAAATTGAAATGAAATCCCCATCTTGTTGTGGTGGATTATTTAGTTCCCAGGACATTGACACTGACCGGGAAAGGAGATAGCAGCGTACGTGGATGAGGACCATTCCTGGGGGGAGCTGTTCCATCACCCAGGTGGAACATAACCTGCTATTGCAGCAGAAATCCTGTCTTGGATTTATGGTGTCTTTAGAGCTGCCCTCTCCTGCTCTGGGATGAAAAGCAGAAGCCATGCATGACTGTCCTTAGGGAACGGGGCGCAAGGACACGAGGACAGTCGGATAGGCACACCAGCTGAGTCAGGAGTGGGCATATTACACCTGTCTCACCTCAGTGGTGTATTATACCTCTTTCTCCCCAAGCTCTGTGCCCAGGTGGGGTCTGATCTGCTAGGAAGACAAAGCCACATGTTTCTGGTCCATGAAGGAGAACAGGCTGGATGTTCCTCCAGTGAGTCAGTGGCGGGCGTTGATTTGGAGCAGGTGTGTCCACATGTGGTTCTGGACAGCTAGTGATGTGGTCCCACAAGACTGTAAACATTCAACTTTGTTATGTGATTTTGAGCATTTTTCCTGACTCTGTTGTGAGGTGCTCGAGCACAGACTGAGTAGGTGACAGCAGAAGACTGCAGGGGAGGGAACAGTGCGGTACTAACTCTGCCCCCAGTGACAACCACAGACCATCAGTTGAGTCACTGCATAGTTGAGTTGGTTGCATCCTTGCATGTGTTTGCATGAATTGGCCAGTAAAACTCAGGGATTATCAATAATAGTATTTGAACTACCTACACGTGTGTGTGCCTGTGAAAACAGGCATTTGTTGTTGCTAAGCAGACATAGAGGTTTTCATATTTAATTACTAAACTTGTGTGTTATAATGCAAGTATTAAAAACCAAGGAAGTTTTGTTACTTATATACGTCAACTATATTATATATTTTATATGTGGCCAAACATAATTGCTGTTCATTCAGTGTGGCCCAGGCAGGCCAAAAGTTTGGACAGGTGTGATTTAAAGGATGCATGCACACAGGCAGATAGAGTCAGATTTCTGCCCTATACTTTCTGTGTGGTTTGGCATTTATAAATATGTTTCTTCCCTTGTAAAACAAGCACAGAGACAGCAACAACAATAATAAGACCTATTTCATAATGTTGTTGGAAGGATCACGTGAGGTCAAGTGGCCGGAAGCCATGGGCTTCGCCGACACTGCCTGCATCAGTCATCAATGGTCCCATGAAGTCTGTGGCCATGCAGGAAGTAGAATGGACAAATACTCATGTGCTCTTCATTTCTCCTCCTCCTTTCCACACTGTCTTGTCCCTCCAGTGCCTCCCCTTAATGTTCTCACCATTCTCATTTACTAAAGCTAGGATCCAAATGCCATCTTAGACTTCTCTTTCTCCTTCTCCCCTACTGCCACCATCTAAGCAGTCACTAAAGTCTGTGGATTCTACCAGCTCAATTTCCTTTCCACTCATCTTACTCTCACTGCTTAGTCCGGAGCAGCCGCATTCTTACTGTGGTTAGGAAGCAGCCTCTAGGCTGACTCCAGTCCCTAATCGTTCAGAAACACAAATCTGCTACCATGCACCTTCTTGCAAAAGACTCTCTAATGATGCCCTGTTTACCTACAAGATATGGCCACATTTCTTTGGGAGTAATTATGGCTCTGCAACATCTGATCTCTTCTGCTCTTACCTTGATTCCAGTGCATTCGGAGATCTCTTACAGTTTTGTGGGATTTCTGGTCTCTTAGCCTTAGGTATGCTGCACCTATTGCTGCTGCTCATTATAATGAAGAAAAGGAAGATGATAATAGCAGTTACAGGTCCCATGGATTGGAAATTTCCAATATATCATTCTCTGGACTCAGTGTCTTACATTTATCGTCTGCCCTTGGCCAACCTTGGCCCTCTGGTGAACTCATCAAATATAATTATGATCTTTAAAGATGTACTGGGTTTATTTACACGAGTGTTTCTCTTGTAATCCAGGGAGCTTGACTTTGTTTGTGTCTCTTACCCACAAGGGGAGCCCGTGTTGGTGTGTGTGGTAGTGCTGCTTTTCCTACTCATTTTTTCCTTTTCAATAGATTCTAGTTTTTTTTTTTAAACACACATTTTATTTAGGAGCAAGAAAAAGATAAGGTGAAGAGTTAGTTAGCTATAGACAAAAGAAAATGTTATGGTGGCCTCATCTACATTGTAGTTTTTAGGGCAGTTTTAGGTTCACTGATGAAGCCACACTGATGCATCATATCACCAACATCCATAGTGGACGTTAATGAATTCACTCTTGGTGTTGTTCATTGTGTAGGGTTAGGCCAATATACAATGACATGTGTCCACAATTATAGTATCACACAGAGTGCTTTTACTATCTTGCAATTCTGTGCTCCACCTATTCCTCCCTCCTTCCTAACTCCTGGAAACTACTGATCTTTTCAATGTCTCCATAGTTTTGTTTTTTCTACCATGTCACATAGTTGGAGTCATGCAATATTTCAAACTTGCCTCTTTCAGTTAGAGATATACATTTAAGTTGGCTTCATGTCTTTTTCTGACTTAAGAGCTTATTATTTTTAATCCTGAGTAATATTCCATTGTCTGAATGCACAGTTTGTGTATCCGTTCATCTACTAGAAGACATCTTTGTTGCTTCAAAGTTTTGGCAATTTTGAATAAATGTGCTATAACATCTGTTCAGGTTTGGGAGTGGAGTTAACATTTTTAACTCTCCAGGTAAATACCAAGGAGTGTACTGGCTGGATCATTTGGTAAGAGTATGTTTAGTTTTGTAAGAAGCTGACAAACTGCCTTCCCAAGTGCTTGCTCCATTTTGTATTCCTGCCAGCTATGTGAGAGAGTTCCTGTTGT